CGGTGCCTGAAGGAAGGCTCCCCCTGGGGTGTTCCCTGCTCATGGCTCCAGCGGAAAGCTTTGAAGTGGTCAGAAAGAAGATAACAAAAGCCAGAAACGAATGGACCCAAGTGTTCCCTCTCCTCAGCTTCCGGGGATTGTCTTGAGCTGGGCATGTGGGCAGGCATGCCCAGCCAGGCCCTCTCACCCGCTGCAGCCTTCTCCACAAAGTGCAGCTCGTGCCAGAAGTTTGCCAGGTCTGGGTACTTCTCCTTCACCGTCAAGGCGATGAAATGCAGCAGTGTCATCTTCCGGTCGGTGGATTTGGTGTCCAGCAGCTGGCAGGTGACAGGGCAATGGAAGAGGAGTGTGCTAAACACATGGGTCCACGTGGCTGCCCCCAAGCTCCCTGCCCAAGCTGCACCATCATCTTACCAGATCCAGGCTCTGGAGCTTGAAGCCGTACACAGCTCCCCGCTTACTGCTATTCATGTAGTTCCCTAGTGCAAGTATGATCTGCCCGAAAGATACATAGGAGGCAGCTCAGAACAAGCCCTGAGAGCTCCTCCTCTCAGATCTGAGAACCACCAGCACTCCCGTTCACAACCTCTCCCTACCTCTAACATCTGCTTCAGCTTCTGGGATGACTTGACGGAGGCAGAGGCTGCAATGATGGCGTTGAGTTGCTGGAAGGCAAGAAGAACACTTGAGAAACCCCAGACTGGGAAAGTACAGAGAGGGGACTAGCCCCCAGAGAGTGGAGAGGCAGCTGTAGAGGCCCGTGATTTGGTGAAGGCTGTACCGGGGTGAGCATCTGCAGATTGTCCTGGAAGTTGCCCAGGAAGGCCATACCGGCCATTCGCTGGGTCAGCCGCTCCACCTTGCTGAAGAGCAGCATGAAGCGGTCCTCGGCCGCCAGCTCCTCCAGGGGCTGCCGCTCTCGCTCATATTGCCGCAGCAGCTTCACCTCAGCCTCTGTGGGCAGGAAGCGCATCAGGCACTCCACGAAGTCCACAGGTAGTGTCTGCAGGTCAAACCTGTGTGGGCGGTAGAATCCTGGCTTTTACCTTTGCCCACATTTTTCCTCTTCCGCTCTTCTCCAGCTCTTAGGACTGGGGCTGTGGGACTGTGCATGGGACACAGCCAGAGGCAGAGAGCCCACTGCCTCACTTGTCACAGCACCGACAACCAACCTAGGGGACATTTCCCATGTCTGTTTAAAAGCCCTCTGAGTGGGAACCAGCAGTTAGCGTAATGGCTATGTCACTGGACTCCCACGTAGTCGACCGCGATTTGCGTCCCGGACCCGGTGGCTTAAAACTCACGCCGGGCGCATGTGCGTGCGTGCCCAAGATCCCGAGAGGAGAATGGAGGAGAAGGGATTGCAGTGTGACCATCCCCCCTGGGGGGTGATTTCTGGCTTTCTGTCTCTATGTCTCTCTCTGTCTTTCTGGTGAGCGCACGTGCCCTATAGCGAAAACCTCTCCAAAAAAAAAAAAAAAGCCCTCTGAGGGCCAGCAGGTAGCATAGAGGTGAAGGCACTGGATCTTACCTAGCCAGCTGCATGGGTCGAGTCCCAGATCTGGCAGCTTGGTACATGTGTATGTGTGCCCAAAATCCCAAGAAGGGAATGGAAGAGAAAACTGCAGCATGACCTTACCCCTACCCTGGGGGGTGAGTCTTACTTCTCCCCCACTCCTATCTCGCTTTGCTGAGCGCATGTGTGTAATTGAAAATAAGGGGGGGAAAAGCCCTTCAATGTCTTTACTCTGCACTAGGGGGAAGTCTAAACATCTGAGCATGGCTGGGGAGGCCCAGCCTGCATGATTTCTGCCCTACTCTCCTCCCTACATTAAAGCCAGATTCAATTTTCACAACCCAAGGGACCAGGCTTCTTTCTCCAGGCCCTGAAATGACTAACTCATATACGTCGTTCAGGTCCCAGCACCTCCTCTGGGAAGGCTTCCCTGATCACTGAGCTCACCTATGTGACCTTCCCTGTGCCCTCTAAGCTTCCTGAGCCTCTACTGTCACCGCACTGTTCCCACTCGACTGGGTGAAGGTCTGAGCTGAGCCTCAGCATCTCACACAGCGGCTGCAGTAAGTCCTGGCCAAGCCCATGGATGACAGGCTGTGAGAGTTCTGTCAGAGGCTCTCACTTCCAAAGAAAGGCAGGCTCCTAGGTAGAGAACTGGGTAGCCACCTGCTGGGGACCAGGGCAGTGGGAGCCTCACGTGTGGATGGCCCTGCAGATCTCCTCAGCTGAGCGGCCAGCCTTGCGCAGAGTGATGGCCAGGTTCTTGGCACGATTGGCTTCTAGCAGGGTCACCTTGCTGGCAGCCTTCTGCGCTGTCTTACTCTTGGAGCAAATGAGGTCAAGGGCAGGGCCCTGGGCTTTCGTCTTGAACAATTCTTCAAACTTGTCCAAGTCCAGGTCCTGGCAGGAGGAAGAAGGGAACACATATGGCTTCCTAGTACTAGAGGACCCCCTGGCAGCATGCCTGACATTGGCCCAGCTCTGGTCCACGAAGGTGGCCTGGCCTGCCCCTCTGAGGGTTTTTCCAAGGCCAGAAGATCTGGTGGAAAGGACAACTTGGTCCTCAGCCTCCAACCCCACCCCTCTGGGCCCCAGGCCCTGTTACCTCCAAGATCTTCTCATCATCAAGTTCACTGAAGACGGTCCCACTGATCTGGTTGGGTTTCAGCGCTGTCCAGTTGAAGACAGGCAGCCGGAACTTGGTCTTGATAGGTTTCTTTATGCGTATGGCTAGTTTGGAAGAAGGATCAGTGAGGCAGGGCCCAAGGATGTGCTCCCCTGGTCCCAACAGCCTGCTCAGAATCCCAGGGGTGCTTACCTGACAGGCCCACTGTCAACACCACAGAGGGCGCAGCACCGGGGAGAGGTGGGGCGGGGGGACACTTGTCTGTGGGAAGAAGAAAGAGCACAGTGACCCAGAGGTCAAGAGACTTCACGGGCTGCCCTCAGTACCCTCCCCACCTGTCCTTGACATTCAGGGAAGGAGGCTGCAGGAAATCTTCGCAGGCTGCTCCCAGGAGTCTTCACTCTGACAGGGGAAGCTCTTGCTAGTCTCCAACCAGTTCCTCCTGGCAGTCTAAGCCCTTTCCTTGACTGTCTTCAGAAGAATTAGAGCAGCATCTTTATGAGACCGAAACAGGCCCACATCATCCCTAGGCAACCCTTGCTGATGACTCGAGCCTCCCTCAGCCTCTAGCCTGCCTTCGGCCTTCTCTGACCCTGATTTTATAACCTTCCAGCCCTCTAATGATACTGCATTCCCAGCTTCTCCCTGAGGACGTCACTGCTAACTAGGTTTGGGTCCCCACCATGAAGCTGTCCCTCCCAACTCCCAAGAGTCCTGGTTACCTGGTAACGGTGGAGGCGGAGGGGGCAGTGGAGGAGCCGGTGGTGGAGGCAGAGGTAGGGTCTCCTCAGGGGGTGGGGTTGGAGCCAGGAGGTCCAGGTCGGAAGGTAGCATGCCCTCACTCGGCTCTGCAGGGCCTACCCTGGCCAAGGCCTCGCTGCCCACAGGCTCCAAGCCCCGGGCACCTGGCTCCAAGTGGCATCGTCGCTGGAAGGCCTCCTCCTTCTCTTTAATGAGCCTTCTCAGGGTGTGCACCTGGTGGCTTGTGTTCTCATACGTCTCCTATTGGACAGGCAGCATCATTAAAGGGGAGCGGGTTGAAGGTACAGTAGTCATTTCTCCTAGCAGGAAGAATTCCTAACTGTCAACTGGGGTCTCTAGTAAGACCTTATGTGCTCAGAGCCTAAGAGCGGCAGAAATCAGGTGGGGAGACAGGAAGCTGGAACACAGCAGAAGAGAAGAGAGCGGAGGAAGCAGTAGGCCTGAAGCGCCCTCTCTGCTCTCGTCGCACCGGCTTTCAAGGCCCAGGAAATGGCCTCAGAAGAAGGCCCACAAGGCCCTGTGGAACTCCCCTGATCCGCCCCCTCTGACAGAGCAGCTCTCTCCACTGGCTTTGGGCCTCGTTACTGCTTTTATTTCGTTTGGCCTTGTATTATCACTCGATTAGAAACCCCATTAGGACAAGGCCCCATCTTAGCCATCTCTGTGTCCTCCACAGCTCCCAGTGTGGGACTGGGCAGATGATACTGATTACAGAGAAGCATAACTGTACTCCTCTGGAAGCACAGGTAGGTTGGGGTGTGAGTTTTTAGCTGATAGAAAGTTAGGTGAGGGGACAGAGGAGCCCCTGCTCTTTCCACTGAGGGTTCCTTGTGGAACAGCCAGAGTACCTTGGCTGCTCTGACCCTTGCTCTTCAAGCAGGCCTGAAGGAAGCACAGGGGAGGCAAATGCAGTAGGTGGGCTGGGAAAAGGAGGCACTCGGAGGTACCCATGGGTCTCCTGCTGCTGCCACACTCTTGTTTTGTAAGTAATTTTTCATTTAGCTTTATTTATTATTATTATATTAATATGACCAGAGAGAGAAAGTGAGAAGGCAAGCTACCAGGTCTGGGACTCAACTGCAGTCAGCCATGTGGGAACCCAGTGCCCTCAGATGATACTGATTACAGAGAAGCATAACTGTACTCCTCTGGAAGCACAGGTAGGTTGGGGTGTGAGTTTTTAGCTGATAGAAAGTTAGGTGAGGGGACAGAGGAGCCCCTGCTCTTTCCACTGAGGGTTCCTTGTGGAACAGCCAGAGTACCTTGGCTGCTCTGACCCTTGCTCTTCAAGCAGGCCTGAAGGAAGCACAGGGGAGGCAAATGCAGTAGGTGGGCTGGGAAAAGGAGGCACTCGGAGGTACCCATGGGTCTCCTGCTGCTGCCACACTCTTGTTTTGTAAGTAATTTTTCATTTAGCTTTATTTATTATTATTATATTAATATGACCAGAGAGAGAAAGTGAGAAGGCAAGCTACCAGGTCTGGGACTCAACTGCAGTCAGCCATGTGGGAACCCAGTGCCCTTAACCACCATGCCACCTGCCAGCCCTGCTCCCACCCTCTTCTATCTGTGTCTGACCCCCTTGGCTTTGGTATCCCTCAACTGAAAAATGGGGTGAAATCATCAGCTCACCCTCATCTGAGTGCCTCGAGGATGACTCAAGATCTGGTTTCTACAGAACTTGACACAAATCAGGAAAGCAAAGCGAGACCCCAAAGCGCTGGCGCCCAGCTCGGGCATCGACTCGCCCCCTCGGACCCCGGGTACCTTGATGCTCTCCAGCTCCTTTTCTCGCTGCAGCAGCTGCTTCTCTAGCTCTGCGACCCGCATCATGTTCTCGTTCTCTAGGTCCAGGAGCTTCTCTGTGAGCTGCAAAACAAGAAGGGTAGGCTCAGGGCTGGACCTGGTCTGGGCACTCAGCACAACCTGAACCCCTGACAGGACCTGGGCCCGACCCTGTCCCCACAGGTCCCCAAAGACAGCTTGGTCAGATGGCTTCCCCGATGGGCCAGGGTGTGACACCATGTGGAACAGCAACAGATAAGGCAAGTGGCCCTGTTCTGGCTTTTCCAAGCCTGAGGCCACCTACACCTAGCCCTGCAGAGGATCCAGTGGCTCAGGCCAGAGCATACTCGAGAGCCCCAGTAGACTCCAAAGCCTCCCAGGGCTCAATCTGGAGGCAAGCAGGTCAGCTCAGGATTCCCAGAACTCAGATGTCCCCATACCCCCCAACCTTCAACAGAGGCTCTGGCACAGGAGGACCACCTACATGGGACACATGCTCCTCCAGCTCCTCCACCTTCTCCAGGGCTACGTTCTTGGTCTCAGCATCCTCCAGCAAACCCCCCACATCGAACACGTTGTCCAGGTATGCCTGAATCTGCACCTGCAGCTTCTCGCTCTCTGTGTGCCTTGACTTCTGGGGGACAGCAGAGAACGTAGTAGCTTGGAGAGCAGGCATAGAATCAGGGAAGCCTCCTAAAAAAAAAACTTAGCCCCCACCACCCCTCACTACCACTTCCTACAGCATAAGACCATGGAGTTTCTGCGCTGGCTATGTCCAGTTTTACCCATGTGAGCTGTCTGACTGGAGAGCTCTCTGCAGGAGGACCCAAATCCCAAGCCATAGAAGACAGATAGGTTTCAGGAGTACCCAGGGTTAGGCTCTTGTAAAAGAAAGCTCTGTGATATTGCTAAGCTGGTCCTCTACTTCAAAGCATCTTACCTTTCCAGAACCCCTGCCAGCTCACCTGTAGGAACTCCTCTAGCCCCAGCTTGGTAAACTCATACTGCAGGTGAACCCGGAAGTTCATGTCCTCCACTGAGTGCACCACGATGTTGATGAACTGCATGCAGGCCACCTGGGGAAAAGGCAGTCAGTCCAAAAAGTCCAGGACAGAAAAGGCAGAGGAGAGAGCCAAGAGACAGGGAGGACAGACAACTGTTAGAACATCATCATCAAAGGAATAAAAAGCAAAGTCTTCACCAGGACAACAAAGAGTATCTTAACTTTAAACAACGTCAAATTTGACCTAGTTGTGATGATGCAGACAGTAGTGCACCACGGCACAGTAATAATCATACGGAAGGCCCAGTTCAGATCGAACATGCATGGTGTGTCTAGCTGGCTGGGAGAAGGTCTGCAGCATGGTGAGACCCTGGTGAGGGTTCCTTTATCCCTCTCACTCATAAAGTAAATAATTAAAAAAACAATTTGCCAGAGGGTGCATGCACTCACCAGTAAGAGACAGAGAGAGAAAGCATCCCCCAATGGGGAGTGGTCATGCCAGAATCCCTTCTCCATTTCTCCATCCTGTTGGGATTTGGGGCACACATGCACACGCACCCAGCATATTCTTCAAGCCACTCAGACTGGAATCCAAACCGCATGGTTGGCCATGTGAGATCGGCTCCCTTAACCATTAGGCCACAGGCCAACCACAAATCATTTTCTCAAACGATCAAAATTTAATAGTCGGGGTAACCGCCATCTTCCAGTAATTAACCAAAATGACAAACACAAAGGAAAAGAGGAGAGGCACCCGATATATGTTCTCTAGGCCCTTTAGAAAACATGGAGTGGTTCCTTTGGCGACATATATGCGAATCTACGAGAAAGGTGATATTGTAGACATTAAGGGAATTGGTACTGTTCAAAAAGGAATGCCCCACAAATGTTACCATGGCAAAACTGGAAGAGTCTACAATGTTACCCAGCATGCTGTTGGCATTGTTGTGAACAAGCAAGTTAAGGGCAAGATTCTTGCCAAGAGAATCAATGTGTGTATTGAGCAGCAGAGATAGCTTCCTAAAACATGTGAAGGAAAATGACCAGAAAAAGAAAGAAGCCAAAGAGAAAGGTACCTGGGTTCAACTAAAGCACCAGCCTGCTCCATCCAGAGAGGCACACTTTGTGAGAACCAATGGAAAGGAGCCTGAGCTACTGGAACCTATTCCCTATGAATTCATGGCATGATGGGTGTTAAAAATAAACTAATCTGTGGTCTATTAAAAAAAAAATCATAGTCGGCATATAAAGGTAAGTAAATTGTATGTAAATGAAGATTCAGCTCTGTGATTTCTATATCAGTAGGTATGTCTTATGACAGCCCTACCTAGCTGAAGATGAGAAGGAAGAGAAGTTAAGAGGAAGAACTGGGAAGGGAACACTGCTCCAATGGATCCAAATCAAAGATGAGATGGCTACAGAAAAGTCTGAGACACACAAATGACAACGTCCTGAAGTTTCTAAAAGCTCCCTGGGGTGGCTGGGACCAGCAGTTGGTGTAATGGCTACGTCGCTGGACTCCCATGTAGTTGTCCGCGGTTTGAGTCCCAGGTGGCTTAAACTCACACCGGGCACGTGTGCGTGCATGCCCAAGATCCGAAGAGGAGAATGGAGGAGAAGGGATTGCGGTGTGGCCATCCCCCCTGGGG